ATAATTATTTTGTAAATTTTTGCTCCTTGTAGCGACAGAGTTTCCATTTGGTCAGCTACCAGTGCTTGAAGTTGATGGAGTGGTGCTTGCTCAGTCTTTTTCTATTGCAAGATTTTTAGGCAATGAATTTGGTAGGGTTTCATTTCTTTTTCCCCAGTGAGCTATAAGATCAGTATCAACTTAATATCGATTGTCATTATTGTTGAAATAGTTTCTCCCTTGGTGAAGGAGAATCGAATGGAAGCTGAAAAGCTCCACTCAGCAGAACTGTGAGGAAGTTAAGTACTCGTCATTAAAAGTGGATCCCAGTGTGCACCCTCCAAGGGCATCCGTGCATTTAATGCCTTTATCATCCTTCCTTGAGTATAAGAATCATTTCACACTCCCTCTGTCACTCAATTTCATTTTCCCTTCCTTAAGTCTCCTCCCTCCCTCCCTCCCATCCTCCCTTTTTTTCAACTTCCCTTCCCTTCTTTTCCCAATCTTCCCCTCTCCCCACCTCCCTTCTTTTCCCAATCTTCCCCTCTCCCCACCTCCCTCCTTTTCCCCCTTTTAATTGACCCTCTTTTCTCACCCTACTCCCTTCCGTCCTCTCTTTGCACCCTCCCTCCCTCCCTTTCCTCTCTATTTCAACTGGCTGACATTTCTTTAGTTTTTCCCTTTCCTCTATCCAATTTTTCCCTCTGCTACTCTCTTTGTTCATTATAGTTTTTGGCTCTTTCGTTCGTTCTTTCCTTTATAAGTTTTGCTTGAACTAACTCTCCCAGGTCTTGCCCCGTTGACCAATTTGGACAAAGCTAAAGCAGACATGATTGTGGATGGTGTTGCGGATTTGACCGAAAAACATGCTTCAGCTTTCTTCGAAAAAGACCCAACTAGAAAGGTAAATAGTTTTTTTTATCGTATTTACAAAGCTATCCGTCGTTCCCCATAATATTTAATATCGTCACTGCGCAGTGCACATAAGATTATTATAAAGAACACAGCGAAAAATTATGAGGCAATGAGAACTCAGAGTTAAATTAAGCGAACTGCCCAAAGTGCGGGAAAAAGCAAAAAGCAAGTCGCGATTATGTCTTCAACTTGCATCTGATTGGCTAACAAGGTGGCGTAAGTTCTATGGACCAATTACTGAGCGAAGTAGAGCAAAACCAGTTCAATCGTATATTAAAAATTAATTCATGCAGTCCAAAAAGTTACCACAATTTGAGCACTTGCGAGTTAATTCAGGCTATCTCTTGTCTTTCAAGAACGTTTGTAAGTCTTGTTCTCTCTGAGTACCAGAGTCAAATTTGGTCAAAATGAACCATGCTAATTAAGGCGGTTCATTTGAAAAATTAGTCGGTATATTGTTACTTCATTTTTTTACTTGAGAAATGACCACAGGGACCTCTTTATAAGTCATGTATATCATTCACTTTATCCACCGTTCGTTCCCTGATTCAGGCTAAGCTGGAAGAGCAAGCGAAAGCTGCTACACCAGGAATTCTCGCTTGCTTTGAGAAACTTCTTAAAGCCAATAAGGAGGGGAAAGGATTCTTTGTTGGTGACAAGGTACGAAGTCACACTCCTCAGTTTAGTCCNTCGGTCGGTCGTTCGGTCGGTCGGTTGGTCGGTCGTTCGGTCGGTCGGTCGGTCGGTCGGTCGGTTGGTCGGTCGTTCGGTCGTTCGGTCTGTCTACCTCACTGCCTGTCTGTTTGTCTGTCTGTCTGTCTGTCTATCCGTCTGTCCGTATATCAGTAATTCCGACGGCATTCATTACTTCGTTGATTCGTCCCTTCTTTAAGAGGTTAATTCATTTAATCAATCAATTATAACACTTAATCATGAAGTTCATTGTTATTTGTTGCTTTCGTTCATTTTTTCTTGTGTCTCTTTTGCGTCATCTGTCTACACCTTGTTAAATGCAAGGGTAAATCACACGCTACTCTCGCCTATCTTTTCTGTCACGTAGTCGCTCCTAAAATATGCAATAATCTTCTGTGTTCTATTAGAAATATCGAGTCCTTGAATAGGTTTAAGAAAGCTAATCAGACATTTTTATTTGCCAAAGCTTTTAAATGCTATGTATGTATATTGCTATGTATGTGCGCAATAGAAGTCAATAATTTATTTTTATTTTCTTTTTTTGTCAATTTATAGCAAACCTATGCAGACATAGTCTTCTTTAACATGATAAATAGCTTATTTGCACAAGGAAAGATGGAGGTTCCAGCATTAGTCAAGGATTTTCCGCTTTTGGTGGCTCATTATGAGCGCGTCATGGCAATCCCGAACATCAAGAAGTGGCTGGAAACACGACCTGAATCAGCGATGTAAAAGGAAAGGTTTAATTTGTGAATGTCTCTGTTACTAAAGCTAAAACGTATCTAGACAAGTGCGTCAACACTCAAATGTTTGTTCGTGCCAATAAAATGAACCTAAAGTCTTTCTTGTCTGGATCCGTACAATCAGGGAATGGGTTGTGTTGAAGGTTTGTTTATTCCTAATAAACATATAACTTCCCCTTACAATGTATATACATAAACCAATAAAAAATTCCGATAAGAGCTAGTAGATATACTCGTCAGCTAGAAAGTGCTATCCTAATGAAGTACATATAATATGACGTGGTGTTAACCACTGATCAAGGAAATTTATAACAATTTAAAGCGAGAATCAGTTATTATAAAATTGTTGGATCATCCGGTTAAAATTTGCAGGTTTAACAGGGGTAAACCAGTCAGCTGCATGAAGTTGTTATAAATAGGTGCCCTTGGCAGCTAAAAAAAATTAGCACTTAAAGGGAAAATAACCATAACAGATGAACCATCAAAATGTAAAAAGTATGTTCAATTTCGATGGATAAAAACTGAGAATTATATATTTAAATTGATTAAGACTCCAAAAGATTTACCAGAACTCTAAAAAGCCGAATATCATTGATCTGTGGAAAGGAAATATTAAGGTTCCAGAGGAGATGGTTAGAGCGCCGGATTGTGTTGTGCGGGAGGTCGAGGATTCGAGCCCCGGCCGGACCAATACTCATGGTCTTAAAATAAGTGAGGAGAATTTGCTACCTTTTTATAATTAAGAAATGGATAGATATTCCAGTCTTCTCGGATAAGGACGAATAAACCGTAGGCCCCGTCTCTTGCAGGGGTAGGAGACGTTAATTCCCCACGCACGAGATTACTGTGTGGTGGATGTCCTCCCCTGGGTGGGATGGGTGGGAATTGGCCCTGAAAAGCCCCTATGGGGAGTGGTCAATTAACCTCAGTGTATGAAGGTATGTATCCTCTGCTGGAGTCTCGCTGTAAACGCATTATGGAGATCCCGAATATCAAAAAGTGGTCGGAGGTGCGACCTGAAAAACTGATATGAGCAAATATCTGCGTGAGCTTGTGCATTCTTCTTACAAACTTGTAGCGAGGGAAATGCTTCAATCTGATAAGTTTAAGTATGAGAATACACCAATTAAAAATGATCTTGACGAGGCCTTTCAGGAAAGAGGGTCGTTTGGGGGCTTATCTGAATCTTAGCTGCGTCAAGAGATATTTTAACTTGTAATTTCTCTTTGCAATTTTCTTAAGTGGTTAGAGGGAAATCCGTCTCGAAGGAAACTCTTTCAAGTGTGACTCACCGTTTATGAAAACTTTCGAGATAGTATGAACATCAGGTCGTCTAATATAATCACCAGCTAAAGAAAAACCAACTCCTTTAAATTTTATTTACCTTTTAGCAATCTCCAACGCGTAATATCCAGCATTTAAGAACACAAAATACTCTTTCATTACCTTATTATGATGTAAATGTTCAGTTGTGTGACTTCAATCCTCCGGGCTCAATTATACATTTCGTAATAATTTGGATATATCAACAAAGTTGAAGTGGTAAAAACAGTTTCTTTGGAAACTATTAGCCTTTATACATTTCGTACATGCGCGCGACACCAGCTCGAGGTTTGCATCTTCATTGTCATTTGCAGCTTAAGTCGGGACAGTCTATTTCCCAAACCAATATGCCGAGCTATAAACTCACCTATTTTGACATCAGAGGAAGAGGAGAATCGACACGATTGATTTTCAAAGCGGCTGGGGTGGAGTTTGAAGATAATCGGGTGACATTTGAAGAGTGGGGAGCTTTGAAAGCTTGTGAGTATGACTGTTTGCTCGTGTGTTTGCTTTGTAAAAAAAAATTTGCTGCAAATTAAGAATAACTCGTTTTCAGCTCAGTTCATAGCCTGAATTGTTTAAACGATAGAGTCGTTCAGATAAGCGTTTATTTAATTTTGCAACCCGCCTCTAACGTTCCAAGTCTACTTTGCTATCATGAGGGATTCACTGTCAGCGCAGCGTCGCAAAGCGTGAGTCTGGCCGCTCAAATTGCTCACAATTTTTTCTTCTAAATCACAGGTATGTAGACGCTATGTGATAAATAAAATTTTATTTTTGCAGGGCTATTTTTAGTTTCAGGGCCAATATTCGTGGTTTCATAGTTGATTAAATAAGCTACGCTGTAATCTTTGTCTAAACCTAATTTGCATACTAGGTGTTGTAGAACAAATAGGGTATTGAAGGTAGCTGTCAGTAGTTGTCACTGGAACAAATGGTTTGCTGCAGAAAGTAAACACACTATAGGGGTCAGCTAAATCTTGGAATGTAATAATCCCGACCTAAAAACAAAGAGGACAAAAGGGACGCCCATGCATGCGAGGAAATATTTTACCTTCCAAAAATTTTGCGTTACTTATCGTGTAACCTCGATCAATTCAATTGCTCTAAAGAAAGCAAAAAGCATGTTGAAAGCCTAAATGTAATAACTGTCCTAAATGTAATGAGGTCCTAAATGTAATAAGCCTCCAATGCAATGGTTTAATTCCGCCAGTGCATTGTTCCTATAGCAGACATCCACATTAAGATGTTAAAGTGACAGCTGTTGCACCGAAAAGTCCTCTAACTGAATATTCATGTCACATTGCGGGCTCGCTGATATCAATCCAAGTAGAGAGGTATTGGTCAGCTTTCTTACTGTTTTGACATCTGTCAATTTGATGCCAGAAGTACATCAGTGTAAGGGTTTGTAGCCAATGATTCTCGATCAACGTCTCTGGCAAATTAAAAGACTCTAATTTATATCAGCGAGCCCGCTACATGCCGTAAATACTGTTAGAGAATTCTTTGGTGTATCAGCTGTCACTTTAACATCTCAATGTAGATGTCCTCTCTAACAACAATGCACTAGCGCTTACGCTAACGATTGCATTTGAGGCTTATTGCACTTAGGACCAAATGTTATTACATTTCAGTAGGACTTCGATTGGGCTAATACTGGAAAAGTCAGCTTTCGAATCTCTTTAATTACGGACCCTTTACGGCGAGCAATTCGCATTGTCAACTTGTTTGATAAAACCGTATTAATTTGTATCTACAATCAATTCATTTGCATGAAAATCTAGCAGACTGTTCGCAAAGGGTAATGAAGTCATATGGCACTATTTTTGACGTTTATTTGTTAAAACTGAATGTTTCTCAGAGTTGAGAATTCCAAACAGAAGTACTTATTGCAGAAAAACCAAAAAACACCGTTTACCGTCCACTAATTTTTTATTATTTCTTTGTTCCTCAGGTAACTGCGCATGATTATATTTCATATTTTTGATAAAAAAAATCCTGTATGATGATTATTTTGTATACATTTTTTCCTTGCAGCGGCAGAGTTTCCATTCGGCCAGCTACCAGTGCTTGAAGTTGATGGAGTGGTGCTTGCTCAGTCTTTTTCCATTGCAAGATTTGTAGCCAATGAATTTGGTAGGGCTTCATTTCTTTTTCCCCAGTGAGCTTTGAGATCCAGTATCAACAGAACATTTGTTTTTGTCATTATGGTTAAAAAAAAAATAACCCCCTCTGTAAAGAAGATTGAATGGAAGCTAAAAAGTACCGCTCAGCATCATGGCGAGGAAGTAAAGTGTATTAGTCATTAAAACTGAATCGCAATATTAAATATCAAAGGGCAACCATGCATTTTTGAAATGCCTTTATTATCCTTCCTTCAGAGCATGAAACATTTCACACTCCCTCTGTCACTCCATTTCAGTCTCCCTTCCAATAGTCTCATCTCTCTCTTCCTCCCTATCATCCTTCCTCTTTTCCAACCATCCTTCCCCCCCCCCTCCACCCCCACCATCACCTTCCAATCCACCACTCTCCCTACTTCGGTTCCTCCTTTTTACCTCCTTTTAATTCAACCTCTTTCTCACCCTCCCATCTTTCCTTCCGTTCTCTCTTCCCACCATCCCTCCCTCCCTCCCTGCCATCCTTCCTCTTTTCCATTCTTCGTCCTACCCATCATTATCCAATCCTGCACTCACCCTTCCTCTTTTCCATTCTTCGTCCTACCCATCATTATCCAATCCTGCACTCACCCTTCCTCTATCCCTCCTTATTCCCCCTTTAATTTACCCAACACCCATTTTCCCATCTGTCCTCCCTTTTCACTCATCCTCCCTCCTTTCCTCCCTACTCCATCTGTTTCTTACTTCTTTTTTTCTTCTCTTTCTCCCATCCTACTTTCCCTCCCCTACTCCTTCATTTGCTCATTATTATACTTTTTGACTCTTTCGTTCGTTCTTTCCTTTAACTAAATCTCCCAGGTCTTGCCCCGTCCACCAATTTGGACAAAGCTAAAGCAGACATGATTGCTGATGGTGTTGCTGATTTGGGTCAAAAACATGCCACAGCTTTCCTTGAAAAAGACCCAGCTAGAAAGGTAAACAGCTCCCAATCGTATTTATAAAGTTATCTGTCATTTCTCATAAATATCTCAGTTCGTCGCTGCACAGTGCGCGTATGATAACTATGAGGAATTTCAGCGCAGTCTTACGTTTAGTATCTCGTACAGCTAAAAGCACAATAGCCTCCACGACCAAACTACCCAAAGCGCGGGAAAACGAAAAAAGCAAGTTCCCGATTTGTCTTCCACCTGCATCTGATTGGCTGACAGGGTGGCGCAAGTTTTTCTGGACCAATTACTGAACGAATTAAAGCAAAACCAATTCAGTCGTGTGTAACCTTCGAAACTTGCTCGAAAATCGCTCTAAAACCTAGTTATGCAGTCGAAAATGCAACTGCAATTTAAGCATCATTCCTGAGTTCAAATGTGGCTAAAATGAACCATACCTATTGCAACTCGGTGAAAAAAAGAAAAAAAAATTAGAGGCTTTGCTGGTACGTCATTTATAACTTGAGAAATAGCCACAGGAACCATCTCATTTAAACGTTATGCACGTCACTTGCTTTATCCCTCATTCATTTTCTGATTCAGGCTAAGCTGGAAGAGGAAGCGAAAGTAGCTACACCAAGATTTCTCACTTACTTTGAGAAACTTCTTAAAGCCAATAATGAGGGGAAAGGATTCTTTGTTGGTGACAAGGTACGACGTCATACTTTTTACTCTGTCTGTGTTTCTGTCCTACTGTCTGTCAGTGATTCATTCACTGATTTATTAAATCAACCCTTTTTTTTAAATTGTTATTTTATTTATTCAACCAATTATAAGATTAATAATATAAGTTAAAAGATTTACAAAATACGTAAAAAAGTTATTTATGTTATTTTTCATACATATACTATTCACAGCTAACCTATGCAGACATCATATTTTTTAACATTACAAATGGCTTACTTGCAAAAGGAAAGATGGAGGTTCCAGCATTAATCAAAGATTTTCCTCTTTTGGCGTCTCATTATGAACGTGTCATGGCGATCCCGAACATCAAGAACTGGCTGGAAACACGACCTGAATCAGCGATGTAAAAGGGATGGTTTGTTAACGCCTGTGTTGCTGAAGCTAAAATGTGTCTAGACAAATGCTTCAACACTGAAAAGTTTGTTTGTGCCAATAAAACGAACCCAAAGTCTTGGGGATCGCGTTTTTGTTTGTGTGTGTTCACCTACCCGCTTTTCTTCCCCCTGCGTTTATTTTTTTTACCCAAAATAAGGATAAAGATTAAAGATCCCTAGATGCGCCACTGCTTATGAAGTTATGAAAAAAAAAAAAAAAAAAAAAAAAAAAAAAAAAAAACCGTCGTCTCTTTGCAAAAGTCTAAAGTCAACAAGGCCATTCAGTAAGAGATAACTTTCGTATCTTATCTCCTCACACACTGTCACAGCAATATCCAACATCCAGGGTTCATTTTTATTGACTCACGCAACGACTCTAGAGGTTTGGACTTGTCGTGGACAAAAAAATAGCTCCGACGAAGGGCTAACGCTCGAAAGGTCAGCTTTTGTAATCGTTACGGTGGCCAATTTACCAATTTAACTTTGTTGATATATCCAAAAAATAGCGATAGTTTCGTTTGCTTTGCGATTTGTGCTCGCTAACCAATTGAATCGTCTCTTAAATCTTGCCAAACTGACAAATGCTGCTAATTTTGGTAGCGATCAACTTAAGTTACTTCCGTCAGACAGGAATCATCGAACGTAGTTTGACGATTTCCGGGCAATTGTAAAACACAAAAAATAAACCGTTATTGGGTTACTATATTTCAGAATGCAGCTTAAAAAAATTTATATTTGAAAGCTATAAAGTTACCCCATGACCTTTCTGAATTAATTTACGAAATCAAATCAGCATCAATCTGTACATGATAACATACTCGTCAAAATAGAACCGTCTGAAATCTTAGGAAGCAAGGCAGGTGCTGAACTTAATCATACCTTCCGCCAGAACGTATCATGGTTGACGATTTCTGGGCATTTGAAAAACACAAAAATAGAGATCGTTCTAACGTTACGGTGTCTCGGAATACAGCCGAAAAAAAAAATTCACATTTGGAGTACACGAAGCTGCCCCATGACCGTTCTGAATTAATTTACGAATGATAATTTAGAAAATCAAATTAGCATAGTTGCTTGTACTTGACATACTTGTCAAAAAAGAACCAATTAAATCGTCTCCGTAGAAGCAGCGTGACCTCCAAGCAACTTTGAACTGCTGCACTGACGCTCCGTTGAGTTCACTTGGAGAAACAATTTCGGATTATAAACTTTATTACTTCGATTGGCGAGGTCGGGTGGAGATCACTCGACTGTCATTCGCTGCTGCGAGAATGGAATACGAAGACGTCCGAATGACTAGTATGGAATGGGCTAAGGAAAAAGAATGCGAGTAGGAAATATTGAAAGTAGACCACAACACAGCACTTGTTTTTAAAACTTATTCTAAATTAACTAACCTTTAAAGGAGGTTTGTTTTCTCGTCTATCTTTAAATTTGAGGTTCAGGAGCTGACTACTAAATGAAAAAGCAGTCTTTCATTGCTAATTTACATCGATCTCTAAGTAAAAGGAAAAAAAAAAAAACACAAAAGGACTACAAAGGGCGAGCTGAAACTTAAAACTGCTATCGTTTGATGTTCTACGTTGCTTGAACAATTAACCATCACAAAAAAACCAATTTTTACTTAATCGAGCGCACATTGTCGAATTAAACACCCGCTCTTTTAAGTAAGAATTATTTTTCAGTGGTTAGACGACGTATTTTTGAGCCGAAAAACTCTTTGGTCGCAAAAATATGAAGGAAAAGATCGCTCTAAACGTGCTGTCTTCCCACTTTAATCGATTCGTTACGATGACAACGCAATTTTAATTTAAATTTCTAGAACTAAAAGTCGAAACCAAAGCTCGAAGATGAGATAATTTTTGGCTTTTGAGGTGAATCTCTACAATCTGGGTTCGTCCTCGGTCAAAAACCTGTGAAGCTCACGAGTGACGTAAAAAAAAAGACAACTCAACATTATCAACAATAGCGCCGGGGCGGATCCAGTAATTTTTGCACACCCTCCACACACCCCATATCCCCTCTCACCGGTCGCGGTTGCACGTTAAAATTCCTTGGCCGCTTACCGTTTGCTTGGATTCATAAAAAAGATCAACCAGTTAAAAAGTGATATACGTTCCTGTCGATGTAAGAATTTCAGTTTCAAAGTTGTAAGCGTCAGGTCTGTTAGGGGGGTCCGGACCGCCCGGACCGCCCGGACCCCCCGGACCCTCCCCCTGAATCCGCCACTGTAGCGTACTGCAAAACAATACCTCATGAAACAAAGAAAACCTCGTCAGGTTTTTACACCGAGGATGACCCACAATCTGGCTCTCTCTTCTTTTCGAGATCAAAACCCTGAGAATTTTGTTGCTGTGGAATTTTGAGTCTTAGTAAAGGATAATTGGACTCGGTCAGGGTTAGATACTCAAAAATGCAATTTTGAATCATACGGAAAGATTGCGTGACCTAGCTAAAGTTGATATTACCGTTCGCCGTGATTTAGGGAAAAAAAGGCCCAATACAATTAACATGATTTAAAAGTTTACGCAAATTAAAAATGATGTTCTTTCATTATAAACTGATGTTTCACCCTAAGTTTCAACCAAAAGCTCATGAAAAACATTGCACTGATTACATTATTGCAAGTTGTCTATTTTCGAAAGTCAGTTATAATTATTTATAGCTGATTTTATCTGGTTATTAGGCAAATGTTTGTACTTAAGTTTTGAAGACCCCTTTGGCATATGTTTATAAAAGTATATATTCACATGTCTGTACATTTTTTTCTTTTTTTTTTGTGGCCATAATAATATAATTTTGTCTTTATTAAGTAAACATAATGTGATTAACATGTTTTTTTTTATTGTTAATTTCATTAACTTGTTCCTTACATTTAGTTTTCCACTTCTAATTATTGATTTTTGTTTCCATTTAACTACAAATTTATTCATATATTGATTCATTTATTTATTAACTCATACATTTGTCATCTATCCATCTTTTTAAGTCTATTTATTTTCTATTCAGTACTTTCATTAGCTGGCAGGTCTCCCTTTAATTTGGTCAGATACCATTTCTCGTGACTCCCGATGGAAAAGTGCTTGGTGAGTCTCTAGCAATCATGAAGTATGTTTGCAGAATAAGAGGTAGGTCATCGCTAATGTAATTAAACTACTTTTTCTTTATCACCAACAGCAATGTCATTATCTATCACCATCATTTTGACAGAAAAACTGAAATTTTCTTGTGCTTCACCACAATGATTTGTCAACTTATTCTCATTTATCTTTTTATTGAGTGTAACGTATTGTGTATTGCTTCCTTTGTAATGTATTTTTATTATGATTATTTTTTTTTACCATTCTTATTTTTGTAAGTAATATTAACGAAATGTTGTATATTCTCTGTTTGACGGAATATAATTACAAACTATTACAAAAAAATTATCATTTTGTGAGACATTGGGCCACATTTAAGGCTAACATGGAGATTTTGGCAGGCTAAAATGCTAATGCACTCAGGTGATTTTGCGATTGACGTTTTTTGGTCTTTTTTTCAGTTATTATTTGCTCAATGCTTTTCAAAGTCACTGTGATAATAATAGTAATACAGCTTATATTTTTGGGCATAGAAAGTTTTGCCCCCCCCCCCCCCCTTGGAGTCATATTAGCCCTCACCTGGCAGGTTGGTGTAAAATGATTCTGATCAGGTCATGGTCAAACATAAACGTGAACTCTCTTGTTTTATAACATAACCAAAGTAAAGCGCGCGCTCTGATTGGTCAATTCAGCGTCCTCCATTTGCCCATGGGTGTACGCTGCTGACGTGAGCAAATGCAAAGACTATTTTTCCGCGCACGCTTGTTTTTTCTGGTCACGTAAGATTTGTTAAATAAAAGGGAACTCCTTAGCTACAATGTATCAATGTTATTTTATAAAACAAATGGTAAACACCACGGCGTACACTATTGAGTTATGGATGCACTTGGGAGGTTCGCTAAGCACTCAAGAAGCTAGAGTCGCTCTCGGCTATCGCCTCGAGCGACTCTTACGCTTCTTTCGTGCTTAGCAACCTCCCGCGTGCATCCATAACTCAATAGTGTACGCTGTGGTGTTTAACATTTGTTAATTATTGCATTTAGGTTTAAGCCTAACAGAAAGTTTTGATGAGGCAATTGCTGATATGATTGTGGGTGGAGTGGATGATTTTTTCAACTCCTTAGTAAAGGCTTATAAGGAAGATGATGAAGCTAAAAAGGTACCTAAGAAACAGACCTCTATGAATACTTCTCTTCAGATCTCTTCTGTTTTCCACCATCTCCAGATATTTCTTGCCCATTCTTGTTTCATTTGCTGCCTGCCTCCCATTGTCTTGTTATCAGCACTCTCCTTTCCTTTTTTAGTTTGGATATATCAACAAAGTTGAAATGGTAAATTTGCCACCATAACGATTACAAAAGCTGACGTTTCGAGCGTTAGCCCTTCGTCGAAGCGAATAGAAGAATTGAGGGTTGTGTGTGCTTTTTAAAGGTAGAAAATGGAGCTTTTAGTCTCGCTGAATAACTTCTCCACTACCTTTTAGTAATATTCTGCTTCCTTACTTGGTGTTATCAGCTTCCAATGTATCCCTTCCTTCTTTCTTTTCTCCTTTTTAGTCCCTCTCTAGCTCCCACCCTCTTCCACCTCTGTTCTAGTTCTTCTTTCCCTCTCATCCCTCCCCACCCACTTCCCTTTCTTCCTCCTTTCCCTTACTTCCCCTTTCCCTTTTCATTTTCTCATTTCCTACACCCTTCTCTCCCATGCAACATCTTCCTCATCAAGCAACTCTCTCCTTTCCATTCCTTCTTCCCTTCCCTTTCCATACCTTCCCCTCTTTATTTTTCTCCCATCCTTTCTCTTCCTATTTGTGCTATACTAATTCTTTTGTTTTAAATTACCCTATCTCCCTTGTCGCCATTCGCCAACTCTCTCCATATTTCATTTGACCACCTATTCAGTTATCAATAATTTTAGCCAATTCCTTCACTTCGGTTTTTTCCCCTTTTTTTGGTCAAAAATCATTTTGCAGATGGAGCTGATGAAAGAATTCTTTGAAGAAACCCTCCTAACCGACTGTCAAAATATGAAAATCTTCTGAGAGCCAACAAAGAAGGCAAGGGTTTTTTTTTGTTGATGGTAAGGTAAGAATTTGTGGATGAAAACAATCATTAGATATTAACATATACAAACTTTGTTTCCTGCACAAGAACCTGCATTTAAGGCTTGCATGACATTTTCTAGTGTTATTTTTTCATATCTTCTTTTTCGGCCTATCACAATCAATTCAGATTCCTATTTGTGGAATAAATTATTTTAAAGCCTCTTGCTGTCACACTATTCAAATAACGAGTCAGTAAATGTGTCAGTAAAGAGCACTCTGTTTAATACAAATAGGTTTGAAATTTCTGGTTTTTGACGTAACCTGATTGCAGCCGAATGAATGTTAATGTAAGGCTAATACAGATTTATTTCATAATATTTGTTCACAGCTCACTTACGCTGACATAATTTTCTTTGACCTGAAGAACCTTTTTGGAAATTAAAAGGTGAACCGAACGACCCGAAGGCACTCGAAACGTTCCCATTGTTGGCTGCCCATTACAAACGCGTGCCAGATGTGCTTTTGTTTTAAAGGGCAACATTGTTTTAAATGATGACTTGATATCATGATGGAGGGCGGACGTGTGATTCTGAGCTCCTGAGTTATTGGACTTGTACTCCTCTTGTGTCTTGTTCATACCTCGAGGAAAGATAAACATGACTACTCTTTTACCAATGAGTACTTTGGTCTACGTTTCCCGCACTCTACGTCGGTTAAAGTGGCAAACCGGGATTCGAGACTCTGTACAAAATGGCGGGCACACGTGCATGTCACTATTAGAGCGAAACGAGCAAACGTTACTACAGCCTATTATGCCAATTCAACCTCGACTTTTAGACCTGTTATACAACTAGTACTGTTACATGATGTTGAACTTAACCCTGGACCAGCAAACAGCTCTATTAGAAACAAGTCTGAAAAGTCAAATGGCATTGTG